ATTTATAGTTCACCAACCTGCATAATTGTTTTATATTCTTAGAAAAATCGTAATTGATGTATTTATTTATTGCATTAGAATCAGTATTGAGTCGGGTACGTTTAAGGAATTTGCTGCAAACACTAACAACATGATGATATTAGTTGTATGAGAAGATCAAAAGTGGAAAGATTTTAAAAAGAAAAATATTTTATTCTGCAATTGTATATTGCAGACAAAATAAAGAGGATATTGTAAATGCAATATACCATTGTATAACAGAAGTCAGAATCAGTGACAATCTGCCTGTTGTTTTGACATATTTATCTCATCATCTCAGGCCTTCATCAGCCCCTGATCAGAGCTAACGTGTAGCTAACGGCTGCACAGAGCAGGTAGAGCAGAATAGACTATAGAATTCAACAGAATACTCATTTCCTGTCTGTTGCCTGGTGCCTATAGGAAGTGTGGGACATCATTGAAGCCAGAGCCATTTTTCTCACATTTCAAACTGCAATCACGAATAGAAGGATGTAGTGCTGTTAATAACTCATGTCAACTCTGTCATAAAACTCCAGTCCTGTCCCCATGCTTAGTGAGACAGTTGAATCAAAAATAAATCTCATATGTTGACAGAATTCCTAATTTGTTTAAAAATCCTTTTTATTCAGAGGACCTGAACCAAAGGAGTCACTGTGATCCTCAGAGTAAGCCTTTAATGTTGCTTATGCTCCTCAGTTTGCTCTCACATGAATGACTAAGTGGTTAACCCGAGTGAATTTAAAGTGTATTTAACAGGATGACCCTAAGCTAGCAAATAGGGGGGTGGGTGGTGGAGGTAATACACTTGGTCATTTCAGGATCCCTGAGTTTAGACTACACTCCCAGGGAGAATTAGGATGGAAGCTTTTTCATTTCCTTGATGTTTGACTTGCTCCACCCTCCTGTATGTTGTGTGTTGCTGAGCTGTGGCCTGACTCAAAATGGAACATGCAGTGTGGACTGCAGAGAGGCAGGACGCTGGTGGATTTAAAGCAAGACAAAAGTATCTGCCTGATTTCAACCTTTACCTGAATTATTTATCACAAGTTAGGAAAATCATTATTTGAAATGAGATAGAAAATATAAGACTTGTCACATTATTAAATCATAGACTAGGCAACAGAATGCATGTTTTACTGCATACATGTTCCTTGTGTTGCAGTGTGAATATTTCACTATAGTCATTTCTCTCTGTCATGATGGCTTTTTGTTGTATATGTTGCATCATTTACTGGAAATGATGTCACAAATAACGTCAAATCGTGGAAATGATAAAAGACTGAAAAATAAATATTTGATGTTAAAATTAAAATCACATATACAACACCCTGAAGATTGTTGAGAACGGTTTTATTAGTGAGATATTGCTTTAATCGTGAGCACATGATATTTATTTATTATACTTTATAAACGCTCAGTTAAACAGAATGAAATAATGAAAAGTAGAACAAGTGATTTAAATAATTAGACTTCAATTACATGAATTTTTTTTGATGTTTATTAAATCATTTTATGTAGGGAAACAAATGACATGTTCTTATTATATAATTTAATTTATAACGCTGACATGTCTAATAACATGAATGATAACATAACGCAGTGTAGATCCATAAGACTGCGTTGGTGCAGTCCTGAACTATTTTGAAGGGTCCACTTTTATTCCACATCCATTTTCACTTCATTCCATTATTGCTGTTCTTACAGCACGATATGATCTGAGGAGATATGAAGAGCTGTATGCAGATCAAAAGCACACGGGGACGGGATGGATGTCTGATGGATGTGTGTATATCAATATCTTTGCCGTCATTTTACTGACACGATCGGCAGCACGCGCATTGTGTTGACCTTCTCTTTATTAAATCACCAGCACCCGGACAGTGTATTTTAAAGCTAACAATTCAAAGTGTAACAGTTTAACTCAAACTCAAGTTTTACTGCGTGTATACACACATTTCTGTCAGAGCTCTCGGCTTCACAGCAGCTCTTTTTGATGGAACTCCATCTGACCGTTGTCTGTGCGTTCTCGTTTCCATTGCGCAGAAAGGCCAAGTCAAAATCAATATTGCAGCATTAAGACACATTTAAAAACAATGCGCAGTGGTGACGAAATATTCATAAAATTACGATACAAATAGCAAGGAAACCCTACATTTTAAAAATAAATCTAGATTGTAGAGTAAACGCACTTAAAATATGCTTTACCGAGTGTTGAATTATTGATTTACATAAGGCGGTATCAGGAGCTAAACTCTTTTAATGGGATGATCGGGTTCCATAAGAACCCCTTTACTCAGATTTAAGACCAAATGTGACGGCGGCACGAGGCGCTGCTGCCGCACTGTGCTATGCTGTGTGGCCGGTAACAAGGCGACATAACGCGGCACACTATGAGCTTTGAAGAGAGAGAGATATGATGATTACGGCAGCATTGTGAAGATGTGAGCTCAGTGTCACAACATGAGTGGCGCTCTGAGTGCAGTCATCGTTTCGTCAGGGGCTCAATGTCCACAAAATAACTCGCCGCTCAATAAATCCATTGTATAACATTTACAAATATATATAAATTAATTATTGGTTCATTTCAAACTCAGCACGGGCTGACTACGTTATGAGCTTTGCTCAGTGTTTTCTTATTATTAGTGACAGAACCTCAGAACGTGTAAATGTCCTATTAGTGAAGGTAAAGGGATTACAACAATAACGTCTGCTAGCCTATATATATATATATATGTGTGTAATATATGATGCATTACAGAAACCACACGGCTTGCCAAACAGGCTCAGAAAAATAATAATAATAATAATATCAAATCAATAATAATAATATTTTTTCAAACATTAAAATATATAGTTGGTCCTGCTCTACAACATGACATTATTCCGTTTATTTTACAATGTTTAAAGAAAATTATGCTATCGAAGAGCATCCACATGAACACACACACCAGGGACGTGCACCGACATTTTGGCTCAAGTGAGAAAAAGGGCACTTAATAATAATTTATAAAAAAATGTTTTAAAACAAAAAGTTAAATATAGTTGCACATCTCTGACTTACTGACCAATTTATTTTAATACCCTCACACTCACGCAATTGTTTAATACTCAGCAGAATTCTACAAAAATAATCAGACAGACAATGGTCTTCTTTAGTATTCACTACGCACAAGAGCAGACAACAAACTAGAAGAATTAATAGTTATTAAATGAGCAGCCAACAATCACAATTATGAAGTTACTGTTTATAAAAAGATCGTTTTTTCGTGTACTTGTACATTTAGTTATTTTGGTCTATTTTGCTTCCATGTTTTCTTTCACTCTAATGGAAAGAAAACTTCCAAAAACACAAATAAATGGTGTTAATTTTACCATGTCTGACTTCATCTATAGATTTAAAGCTAATCTGCATTTAAGCATAACATTTCAGGGGGAAATACTGACTTGACATAAGTAACTATCTGGGGAAGTATGATGTGTTTTTTTGTTTGTTTTTTGTTTGATCCTTTTCACCTGCAATGCCTTGGTAACTGCATGCACATTAGTGCATTAGGCCTAGTTAACGCCTACTTTGCATATCAATGTGGCGATTGTGATGACGTTATAAGATACACATTTGACTGTATTCACTTTTAGTGTCTCCCATTAAGTACAGCACATTAGCCTGTATGCCCATGATAAATTGCCTTAGCTAAACCTTGAGCTAACTTATCCATTAGCTAGTAGCCTACCTTAGTTAGGCCTACTTGTTTTTGTCTTTTGGCTAATTAGCTGTAACTCGAGGCACTGACAGCTTAGTCATTTGTTCATAACCACTCACCTTCAGACAAGCCAAGAAAAGACGGCATAACATGGACAGTAAAGTGGGAGGTGCTGCTACCTGTCTGTCTGAAGTGACTGCCGATGTCCGCACCGCTGTGCGCGAGACGTGGAGGGAGGAGTGTGACATGAACTCAGATTGGTATAATAACAATTATGTATATTTAATCTATATCTCGTGACACAAACAGAAGTAAAGCGATCTCCATGGTGACAAAGGCTGCTGTAGTTCCTAGCATGCGGTAGCCCATGGAAATATGATTTGATTGATCTGCATAATCTAAATAACTGTGATGGTGTGTCTGCAGGTGGAGATCCCCAAGACAGCACCCTCATCATCCTCCTCCTCATCGTCAGCGGGAGATAAGAAGAGTAAAGGGCGGACAGGATGGCCCCAGCATGTCTGGGCTCTGGAACTCAAACAGTAGTCCCCCCCTTAGTGATGGGACATTATTGACGCGCTCAGAGGAACTTTAATGGCCGTCATCATCATCTTCTTCATCATAATCACCATCATCATCATCCACGCTGCGGACCTCCAGGCTGCCCCCCACCCCCTCCTTCCGGAGTGACAGGCCCAGGAGTGGAGTAGGCCTACCTCATAGAACATTAGATTAGTTACCAAGTTCGATTCATTTTTAAGTTGAAGACCTTAATCGAAAAAGAAAACACAATAAACGAAAACGATTCCTCAAACGGCAATATTGTAGATATTTGGTCAATCAACACTTATTCTTCTATGTCCAGACATCCTGAGGGCACATGCGCTCTGTGCTGATGGGATGCATTCAAAAGAGTGGTTTGTAAAACCTCTGAGGTGTGCTTCCTCAGAGATAGCTTGAAGGTAGGGCGGCCGAGTCTCTCTCCCTCACACAGACACACACACACACACACACACACACACGTGGTTTTGACGTGCTCCCTGCTTTATTTAACGTAATATATTTATGCCAGTAGCACCCGAACAGCCGTTAGAACCTTTGATTAAAGACAAGGTGTATGTGAAGTGATCTCTCTCTCTCTCTCTCTCTCTCTCTCTCTCTCTCTCTCTCTCTCTCTCTCTCTCTCTCTCTCTCTCTCTCTCTCTCTCTCTCTCTCTCTCTCTCTCTCTCTCTCTCTCTCTCTCTCTCTCTCTTGACGTCACAATGATGACGACGTATCTATGTTGTGGTGTGAACATGTGGTGGGGTTCTAAATAATGCTTTTTGTGGGATGTAAACAGTGTCATGAATTTAATAAACCACCACCTGGTTATGTTACTGTGCAGTTTCTTCCTTGAGCTGGTCAAACTGCAGCTTCATTCATATTAAAGAATAATTCCGAAGTAACTATTTTATTTTCACATCAAAAGGTGTATGTTGTTCAGCATGTGAATGGGGCTCCCTATTGTGAAGGTAAAGCAAACATAACCTAACCCTCTTGAGTTCTGGCTTTCATGTCAATGGTTTGCAGGAAAACAGACATCATTTATGTTTGCTGAAGTATAATTCATATTACCTTCTTCTTCTTTGTCACCTCAGGATTTCCATATTTAAAATGTTTAAAGCCACCTTTTTGACTTATTAAATGTTATACATATTTACAAATAACATTTAAAAGTATGACCTAATGAAAAACTATTTTACTTTTGAAATAAAATAATAATGTTGTCTTAACTGACCATAACTCAAAAAAATGTTTTCTTCTGTTTATCATTGGAGTACACACATTTTGTACAGCAATATTAATAATTTAGATATCATCCCTTAGATTAAAATGCCTGACAACCTATTTCAGAGTCATAGCATTCATAAGAAATGAAACTGCTTATTGCATCCCTCCACCAGAACTCTATGAACGTCCATATTGGTTCATGCTTTTTGTTAATGCAGCGGATGAGTACACAGCACACATCTGTCACGTGTTTACCAGGTAACTTATTGGTCTGGATGTTCATTGTAAAGCTGTGTCATGGTGTGCAGGAGTGTTATCATAAGTTGTGTTATAATGACAACATACTCACTTGTTACACAAACAGCCGTACAACTGTGAAGTAACGCTTTTTTTGTGTGAAACCGCTCAATGAACTACATCTCTGGTCTCGCACAACAACACACGTCACCAAGATGGCCGTCACTACTGTCTTGTCAACAAAACGATTGACTACCCTCACTATCACCAAAATGAAACCCGTCCAGAAGAATGTCATGCAAAGCTGCCTGCCTGCCTTCCTTCGATTATCTCTTAACTGCCTGGTCTTTTTAATTGTGTGAGTCATAGCTCACATAATTAACCTCTCCATAAAACAGGGGAAAGTACCCAAAGACTTCAAAATTGCAAGAGTAACCCCCCTGCACAAAAAGGGCAGCAAATTGGACCCAGGCAACTACCGCCCTGTTTCTATACTTACCTCCATCTCGAAAGTCATGGAAAAAATAGTATATGAACAGGTCGAAAAGTACCTCGCGGAAAATAAACTAATCTATGAATTTCAATCTGGCTTTAGAACATCCCACTCCACTGACACATGCCTTCTTTATTTGAGCGACCACATCAAACAAGAGGTGGACGAGGGCAAGTACTGCGGCATGGTGATGCTGGACCTACAAAAGGCTTTCGACACTGTCAATCACCCCATTCTGATTGACAAGCTAAAAGCAATTGGTTTTGATAAACTATCGGTGAGCTGGATGCAATCCTACCTGGAGGGGAGAGAACAGATGGTGGAGGTAAACGGTACTCTGTCCCCCCCCCTCCCAGTGAGCTGTGGTGTTCCACAAGGAAGCATATTAGGTCCGTTACTGTTCCTAATTTATGTAAATGACATGTCATCAGCATGTGACTGCAACTTGTTCCTGTTCGCGGACGACTCAGCCCTGCTGGTCTCTGACAGGAACAGGTTGCAGGTTGAAAAAACCCTCAGCTCCGAGCTCGGCAGAATCTGCACCTGGCTCGCCGATAATAAATTATCATTACACCTGGGTAAAACAGAGTCCATTCTCTTCGGTTCGAAACTTAATCTCAGCAAATCCGACGACTTCTCAGTTGCAGTGGGCGACATTATTGTCACAAGTAAGAAGGAAATTACATACCTAGGATCTATTCTTGAGGCAAACCTCTCCTGTGACAAAATGGCATCCAATGTAATAAAAAAAGTCAATCAAAGAACTAGATTCCTATACCGGATCTCCTCTCTGGTAAACAAAAACACCCTGAAGACTCTGGCAGGAGCACTCATTCAAGGGTACTATGACTATGCTTGCACGTCATGGTACCATAGCACCTCCAAGGCGCTAAAAATAAAACTTCAAACATCGCAAAATAAACTGGTCAGACTACTGCTTGACCTTTCATCTAGAACCCACCTCACCTCTGCCCACTTTGACAACCTAGGATGGCTTAGAGTAGACGACAGAGTACAGCTACTTGCAATGGGCCTGGTCTACAAGATCCACTACACCTCGATGGTACCCATGTACATGTCAAAATTCTTCCCAAAGGTCAAGGAATACCATGATCATAACACCAGAGGGAGCTCCACAAATCATGTGAAACCCAGATTTGGCACAAAAAAGGGGGAATACACGTTTCGCAATTATGCCACATCAAGGTGGAACGCTCTTCCCACAACTGTAAAGGAAAGTAAAACTATACTTACCTTCAAAACCTCTCTTAAAGAGCACCTTCGGGGGAGAGCATTGCAAAACTGGCCCCGGTAATGGTACAAATCTCAACCTGTCGTTCAATGGACAGCTTCCCCCCCCCCCCCCATCTATGTATATACTCGCATTTTAGACTCTGTTACTAACTGTATATCTGTAGACTTGGTATGTCTTAAATGTCCGGTTAGGATGTATTAGAACGAAATCTAAAATGAAAATTGTAAATAAGCAATCTGTATGTAAAAAACCACCTGTATGTAAATTGTAAATAAGCCATCTGTATGTCAAATATGTCTTATATGTCTTAAATGACATGATGAATTGGAAATGGGGGACCTGATGTAAACAAGACGAAAGTCTTTCTCTGGTCTGCATCCCCTTAACAATTGTATGTTTTGAGCTGTACTGTACTGTACCCAATATACAAGATGTTAATAAACTTTTCAATCAATCAATCAATCAATGTTCAATGTTAACTATTTGTGCAGGTAGCATTAAGTAGAAAAGATCGCCGATGCTAATGTAGCGTTAGCATGTCTCCCCCGGGGCATCCAGGCTTAAACGGTGTATTATAGAATGATCACACCGGTGTGACCAACCCACTCTCTTCAGTCTGCGTACAAATGACACAACGTTACACATTGGAAATACGTGCAATAGATACGCAGAAGTCCGATTTTGCGTGCATATGATACGCTAACCATTCCCATTGAGTTCTGAGGCTGACTTTTGCTTGCATATGATACGCTCAGTGGCGTTTTTATATGTACAAAAGTGGTGGGGCATAACAAACTTAGATGTCTATAAGCTTCTGCAGAGAGGTTCATGGCTGGTGAGGCACTGGCTCTGACTCTTCAGGTTTACAAATAATATATTTTGACCTAAATCAAAATATAATATTATTTTCAAAAGCTTTTTTTGTCTGATGCTTCAATTAATTTTAAACAGACAGTTCAACAGAAGGATACCCAAAAAATGTAATTTTATCATTTAAATATTGAATTGTTCTCTCTTAGTAAGATCCCATTTTCAATCAAATTGCAGTCTTACCTTGACTTGAAGATTAAGTCCATTTGCCTATCCTTCTGGACAAAAATCTCTATTACTTTTTTGTAAAAGTCCTCCTTATGTTCTTGTAGTTTCTAAAGTCTATCATAAATCTAATCTAATCAATAGATTTATGATTCGAAAATTATAAAAGTAGGGTAGACATGTGGATATTATCCGGCTGAACAAAACGTGCATTTATCTAACAGCTACGTTTCCCACAGATCTTATTTTGAGCTATTTTCTAAAATCCTATGGAGAAATCTCATTGCTTTTTTGTCGAGGGAACCCATGCGCAGCTTACTTCCGGGTTTTAGGACGCCTCACTGCAGCTCTCTCTCCTCTTCACACACCACACTTTTCGCGGCACACGTACTTACAGCCAATCAGCTCTGAATGATGTGAGATGACGTATGGTGGGGATGGCAGCTCTATGCCCCTATGGTCATTGTTTTTTTGCCACACACATTAAATAGGACAATATTCTGAGCATGCGCAGTGTAGTTTTTACAGTCACCATTGACTGAGGCCCAATCCCAAACCACTCCCTCGACCCTACCACTCCGTGACGGAGTGAACTCGTCTGTAGCCACACTCGCAGCTCAACGAGGCTCCCTCCTGTCAGATGGAGGGAGTAAATACAGCAGCAAGCTTTGGGACGGCCTCCCCTCTCTCCGGCAGAAACAGGAAATGCCGTAACTGTATGTAACAACGGTTTCAAATCAGCATCTCTTTGACAAAAAGTTTAAATTAATAACTCAAATAAAACTCCAAATATCTTTCATTGTGTTTCAAAGCTCTTTTAGTTTTAAACCTGATGTTTATAAGCTTCTTAGTTTTTGCAACGGTCTGTAAATATACACAGCTTTTAATAAAATGCACACATTTACCTTTTTCTAGACTAAACACAGGTATTATCCTAAGTTAAAAACATATGAGGTTATCATGAGGTTGTTAACATCGGAATTTATCAGTGGATGTTTGCTGGAACTACTTGTAAACAGCGTGTTTCCTGACGGACACACACAGCGTGACTCCGGTCAGGTAGAGACCAGACTCAAGTCAGCACCGCTGCAGACTCGCTGTTTGAGGGCTTGATAGCCCACTCCCCCTCCACACTCGTTGCTTTGGAACAGCCCTCAATATGGCGGACCCTCCGCGTGAACGCGCAAACGGAGGGGTAGGGTGTAGGGGTAGGGTGTAGGGGTAGGGTGTAGGGGTAGGGTGTAGGGGGCGGTTTGGGAATGGGCCTTAGACAGTAAGAGGGAGGGGCAGGATCGGGTTTTGTCCCACATGGCTCTAAACAGCTCAATAGGCACACACTGTAGACACTAATTAGAAGAACACAGATTAAAACAGCAATGTACAGACGAATCAGATTATTAAAAATGATCTTAAAATATATTTAATATATTTTTTAATTTATTTTTTGCATTTATTTTGTAATAATTATTTTTAATACTTTCTGCTGATACTAGGTGGGGCTGTGCCCCACCTGCCCCTAATGGGCCAGTCGCCACTGGATACGCTAACCATTCCCAATGAGCTCTGAGGCTGAGTTTTGCGTGCAT